AATCTATTTTTGTATGCCACAACTGCGGCTCGCATTTTGTTAGCTAAAAAGTGGAAAACTCAAGAATTACCAACAGTAGAAGAATGGCAGATGAAGATGATGGATTATATGGAGCTGGCCGATCTAACCGGAAGAGTCCAGAAGGAGGAGGAACACCACGAAGAATGGAAGAAATTAAATGACTATTTAGCTAAATTTGTTAAGCTAATATAACTGGAAATAGCATCCAGATGCTATGGGCTTAGGATTGTATCTATGTTAACTGATAAAATATTATGTTTAATACAAGAAGGAGAAGATTTAAAGATGTTAATGTTTAATTTAAAGGGTATTAAAATTGGGATTTGGAAAACCGCTATAAGGATATGCAATGAAATTCAACTAAGTTGTTTTACAAAGTAAATAACTGTTATTTTCAATAAGGTTATGATTTATGTTTGTTATGTTTTGTTTGTTTTATGTTTTTGTTTGTCGTTGATATTGTAAAGACTAATAAAATTTTTGCAAAAAAAAAAGGGGGGGTCAGAGCAGTGTCAGAAATGCAAATATATAAGCCAGGCACCGAACGTGGCACCTCGAATGCCTATTCACTCTGGGGTTGGGCTGGATGACCCTCGGATCCCTTTCCACAGATTCTACGATTCTGTGATCTCAGCTCGACTGTAGCTTGCTCTGACAACAATTCACTTAGTCCCAGTATGCGAGGAGGAGGAACACGCAGAGGAAATGTAAATGGCATTAACTGAGGACTAAGCCAGAGGTTTTTTAAACCGTTTGCCAATTCCATTTCGAACGACAGGACAGCCAAACGCCTCTGCCCTCTCTGCCTTGCTCTTAACTTTCCTTGCTGCGACGATGGAGGACTTGTGTGTGAGTCGACTGGCTTGGCGGAGATCATAATACAGTGGTACCTCGGGTTACATACGCTTCAGGTTACAGACTCTGCTAACCCAGAAATAGTGCTTCAGGTTAAGAACTTTGCTTCAGGATAAGAACAGAAATCGTGCTCCGGTGGCACGGCAGCAGCAGGAGGCCCCATTAGCTAAAATGGTGCTTCAGGTTAAGAAGAGTTTCAGGTTAAGAACCTCCAAAACGAATTAAGTACTTAACCCGGGGTACCACTGTAAAATTTATTATTACAGTGGTACCTCGGGTTACAGACGCTTCAGGTTACATACGCTTCAGGTTACAGACTCCACTAACCCAGAAATAGTGCTTCAGGTTAAGAACTTTGCTTCAGGATGAGAACAGAAATCGTGCTCCGGTGGTGCGGCAGCAGCAGGAGGCCCCATTAGCTAAAGTGGTGCTTCAGGTTAAGAACGGACCTCTGGAATGAATTAAGTACTTAACCAGAGGTACCACTGTATGTCAAAAGCAAAAGGAACTGCAACTGATTTTTATGTATTAGCAACTTTGTATTAATGTAACCTTTTCATCTGTAGCTCTGTATTTTTGTCACATTTTGTTTAAGCTTGTTATTGGGATGAGCGATAACAAACTTAGTTGGCCTCTAAGTCGCTAATGGAAGGAATTTTTTAATTTTGTTTCGACTACGGCAGACCAACACAGCTCCCTACCTGTAACTTTGTTTAAGCTGTCTGCTGTTGCCTTCGGGTTTTTGTACACTGCTTAGAGATGTTTTCAAATAGATCAAGCAGTACAGAAATCAAATGCCAACAAAGGTCTGTATAGTTCAAGCTCTGGTTTTCCCAGTAGTGATGCATGGAAGTGAGAGCTGGACCATAAAGAAGGCTGATCGCCGGAAGAATGGATGCTTTTGAATTCTGGTGCTGGAGGAGACTCTGGAGAGTCCCATGGACTGCAAGAAGATCCAAACCTCTCCATTCGGAAGGAAATCAGCCCTGAGTGCTCACTGGAAGGACAGATCCTGAAGCTGATGCTCCAAGACTTTGGCCACCTCATGAGAAGAGAAGACTCCCTGGAAAAGACCCTGATGTCGGGAAAGATGGAGGGCACAAGTAGAAGGGGATGACGGAGGACGAGATGGTGGGACAGTGTTCTCAAAGCAACCAGCATGAGTTTGACCAAACTGCGGGAGGCAGTGGAAGACAGGAGGGCCTGGCGTGCTCTGGTCCAGGGGGTCACGAAGAGGCGGGCATGACTAAACAACTAAACAACAACACGGAAATCAAATGATCGAAATCAAGTCAAATAATTACACCGGGGACTCTCAGCTCCAGGCTCAAAGACTCTGCAGCTACAAGGCCAAAAGCTGAGAAGCCAACCCAGGACTCAAGAAAACAAAGTCTCCGAAAAAGGAAAGGGAAAAGGAGCTGGTGAAAAAAACAGAAGCCATCCTATTTCACTGAATGGCCCAGTTACTCAGAGGTAAGCGAAAGGAGACCACCACAAAAGCGAAGGGCCAGTTGCAGGTCAATTTCACAAGGGACTAGCACCTCTCGCAGGCTTTTAACGAAAGATTATTTGCTTGTCCTTTCTACACGCCTTTCCTCCAAAAACCTCAAACTTGGCCTACACAGTTCTTCGCAGTTTTGATCCTCACAGCAGCCCTGCAGGGCTGAGCCCTAGCGGCTGGTCAAAACAAGCGGGATCCATGTCTGGAGTGGAGAGACTCGAACTCAGGTCTCCTGACACTCTGCAACCCACTATGTTGGCTGCATGGGGGAATGAGGTATGTGAGATTCAATTCTGGGAGTTGTAAACCTTCAGCTGGAACCATCCCCGCTTTCACTTTCAAGGCATCAGTCAAAAACTTGTGATATTCCCAGACAGGCCTGGGAAATTAATTAATTTTCCCCCAGTGAGCTTCCGGGGGGGGGGGGAGAAGTCACTGCAACTTTCTTGTGCAACCTTTTTGTATTTTTTAATGAAGAGTGAAGCCTATAAATATTCGAATAAACAGGATATACATTTTGGTGTGTATGAAATAAATAAAAATTACAAGGATCAGTCTAATTCTGCCAAGATGTTTCTTTTTATACCATAGTTTTCTAAATATTCTTTAAAGATTAGTTGTATTGTATAAGTTCGTAGGGAGGTAAAAAGAAACTATATAAGGAAAATGTAACTGTGGATGGACAGATAAAAGAACTGTGAGATTAATCGAAAGTCATTTTTAATTTTCTTCTCTATAAGTTTATAATTGTTTTCAGTAGCAGGAGTATATATGATGATAGTTATATTAATCTTGCTGTATCTTATAGTGCGGCGGTTTGTTCGATTCTTCTGTTTCTTGTTTGTTTGACTATGTTTGTTTACTTGTTTGTCTTTTTTTAATAAATGTATTCGTTTTAAATTAATAAAGATATATAATTTTTTTTAAAAAAAATGAAATAAATAAAAATAAAATGCACCCAGAGCACGCTACTTCTCCACCTCACGGAGTTGTCGCTGGATTAAATGATCCATAAACGTTGCCCCTTTGGAAGAAAAAATGTGGATATGTCTATGTGCACATGGGCGTAGCTGCGCCCCCCCCAATAAAAATATTTAACTGAGGTTCTGCCTCCCCGCACAACATAAAGCCTGCCCCCTAACATAAATCCTGTGTGTGTGAATAAATAAATAAATCCAGAATGCTCATGGAGAGAGCCGCGTTTTCAGAGCTGCCTAGCTGGCAGGGTTGGGGTGGGATTGAATCAGTGCTGCGGGGGGGGGGGAGAGAAGACCCACATACGCCAGCTTGAGTCCCTGGTAGGTGTGGTGGGGAATGGGCAATGGGCTCTGGACTGCGTTAAATGGATGCAATTGGTGGGTCGAATAAACCCGCAGCGCTCTCGCGCCGCCTCTCCAAAGCCGCCTAGCTCGCAGGGTTCTGGGGAGAGTGAATCAGCGCTGCGCGGGGGGGGGGGGGGGGCAGGGACCTACATACGCCACCTTGAGACGGGGGGGGGCGTGGCGGCTCTAGACTGCCTTCAATAAACGCAAACCGCCCGTCGATAAACCCGATGCGCTCGCGCCGCCACCTCTCCAAAGCGGCCTACCTCGCGCGGTTGTTGTGCGGATTGAATCAGCGCTGGGGGAGCGGGGGGGGGGGGGTTGGAGAGAGAGACCCCACATACGCCACCTTGAGTCCCAGATGCGTATGTTTGGGGGGGGTGAAGTGGGCGCTAGACTGCGTTCAAATAAAGGCAACCGTCGGCCGAATAAACCCGATGCGCTCGCGGCGGCGCCACCTCTTCAAAGCGGCCCACCTCGCTGAGATGTTGTGGGGACTGAACCGGCGCTGTGGGCGGGGGGGGGGGGGCAAAGACCTACATGCGCCACCTTGAGATCCTTGTAGGGGGGGCGTGGCGGCTCTAGACTGCGTTCAATAAAGGCAACCCGTCGGTCGAATAAACCCGATGCGCTCGCGGTGCCACCTCTCCAAAGCGGCCTACCTCGCGAGGTTGTTGTGCGGATTGAATCAGCGCTGGGGGGGGGAGGCAAAGACCTATATACGCCACCTTGAGATCCTTGGGGGGGGGGGAGACGGGAAGTGGGCTCTAGCCCGCGTTCAATAAAGGCAACCCGTCGGTCGAATAAACCCGATGCGCTCGCGGTGCCACCTCTCCAAAGCGGCCTACCTCGCGAGGTTGTTGTGCGGGTTGAATCAGCGCTGGGGGAGCGGGGGGGGGGTGTGGAGAGAGAGACCCACATACGCCACCTTGAGTCCCATATGCGTATGTTTGGGGGGGGGAGTGGGCGCTAGACTGCGTTCAATAAAGGCAACCCGTCGGCCGAATAGACCCGATGCGCTCGCGGCGCCGCCTCTCCAAAGCTTCCTACCTCGCGAGGTTGTTGTGGGGATTGAATCGGCGCTGGGGGGGTGGGAGGCAAAGACCCACATTGAGATCCTTGGGGGGGGGCGGGAAGTGCGCTCTAGCCTGCGTTCAATAAAGGCAACCCGTCGGTCGATGAACCCGGAGCGCTCGCGGTGGCGGCGCCTCTCCAAAGCGGCCCCTCCGTGCGCCCAGGGCGCATTTACGCATTTGGCGAGGGGCGCATTTGGCGAGGGGGCGCGCGTCGGGACCCCTTACCCGGTTCTTGACTTCGGCCGACAAGCCGTAGCTGGGTCCCTTGTTGAACTGGTTGTTGCTCATCTTGTGCCGGGGCAGGGCGCTGTCTGGCGGGGCAGGCGCGCTCGCCACACGCTCCAAAAGCAAGGGAACCCGCTCCGCGCGCCTCCGCCCGCCCTCGGCCAAGTTTTTGGGGGCCAGCCCAGCGCCGCCTCCCGCGCGCTGATTGGCCGCCAGTGGAAATAGCCTTATAAGGGCAGAAAGTGCCGAATTCCTGCAGGATGGCAGTTTCCTGTGTGTGGGTCTCCTTCGAGAGGAAAGAAAGCGAGAAGGAAAACCCGAGAAAAAGCGCAAATTCCCCGCAAAGGTCGTAGAAATCGTGGAGTCGGAAGGGACCCTGCGGGTCATCTAGTCCAACCCCCCTGCAATGCAGGAATCGCAACTAAAGCATCCATGGCAGATGGCCGCCCAACCTCTGCTTAGAAACCTCCAAGGAAGGAGCGCCCAGTTTTGCAGGCATCCCTGCGCTTTTGAAATGGTTTTGGGGACAGACAGGCATCCAACCGGTGAAGCTGAAACTTAAAACGACTTTGAATCCTGCAGGATTTTGGAGACTGTGATAAAGTCCCCTCTCCCCTGAGCCTTATAATGGGCTCCTAGCAGGGTTTGCAGGTCCTCCAGTTTTGGGGACAGACAGGCATTCAACTGGTGAAGCTGAAACTAAGTTGCTTAGGGGGAAGCATCACCCTCCGCCCAAGCCTTGTAATGGGCTCCTGGTGGCCTCCTGTGGCCTTGACAGGTAGACATTCAACTGGGGAAGCTTTTGGTCACACTGCTTAGGTTAAGGTTCACACCTTAACAGATTTTTGCCATTGTTTATGGGGTGAGGACACTACTATAATTATGATTATTACTTTGCCCTGTTAAGACTTGATATAGATTTGGAAGTAAGGCAGTCATTCAAGTGGTGAAGCTCAGGTCAAGCGGCGAGGTTTGTGGGTTGGCTGCGTGGCCACTGGGCGCTCTGCTGGATTGGTGCTGAGCTTGGAATCCCTAAACGGCCCAGTATCCCTGAAGGAGCGTCTCCACCCCCATCGTCCAGCCCGGACACCGTGGTCCAGCTCCGAGGGCCTTCTGGCGGTTCCCTCCCTGCGAGAAGTGAGGTTACAGGGAAGCAGGCAGAGGGCCTTCTCGGTGGTGGCGCCCTCCCGTCAGATGTCAAGGAAATAAACAGCTATCTGACTTTTAGAAGACATCTGATGGCAGCCCTGTTTAGGGAAGCTTTTTTTTGTTTGATCGCTTTATTATTATTATTATTAATATTCTGTTGGGAGCCGCCCAGAGTGGCTGGGGAAACCCAACCAGATGGGCAGGGTATAAGTAATAAATTAGTAGTAGTAGTCCTAGTAATAGTACTAATAGTCATAGTATGTCACCTTGATATCTTTGATGAAAAGGTGAGATATAAATGAATAATAATAAATATTCATTTGACAATTATTCATCTGACAAGGTCAGAATACACACACACACACATATGTATAGAAAGATATATAGATATATACACACACACGTCTTTAACACAGCTCTCCGGGAAACCCAGTCAGATGGCGGCATATAAATATTAATCCAGTGGTACCATGGTTTGCATACTCAAACCCTGAAGTGCGGGTCGTGGTTTGCAAACTTTGCAACCTTTTTTTGAATTACAACCCTTTTTTTTTATTACAATTTTTTTTTTTTTGGAGGCCCCATTGGCGAAAGTGCGCTTTGGGTTACAACCTGTTTTGGTTTACAAACAGACCTCTGGAATGGATGATGGTTGTAAACCAAGGTAAGGTAAAGGTGAAGGGACCCCTGACCATTAGGTCCAGTCGTGGCCGACTCTGGGGTTGTGGCGCTCATCTCGCTTTATTGGCCGAGGGAGCCGGTGTACAGCCGTTTACCTTCCCGCCAGAGTGGTACCTATTTATATAATTGCACTTTGGTGTGCTTTCAAACTGCTAGGTTTGCAGGAGCAAGGACCGAGCAACGGGAGCTCACCCCGTCACGGGGATTTGAACCGCCGACCTTCTGATCGGCAAGTCCTGGGCTCTGTAGTTTAACCCACAGCGCCACCTGCGTCCCAGTAAACCAAGATATACCACTGTAATTATTATTAAGAATAATAATAATTATTATTACAGTGGTACCTCGGGTGAAGTATTTAATTCGTTCCGGAGGTCCGTTCTTAACCTGAAACTGTTCTTAACCTGAAGCACCACTTTAGCTAATGGGGCCTCCTGCTGCTGCCGCTCTACCGGAGCCTGATTTCTGTTCTCATCCGGAAGCAAAGTTCTTAACACCCAGCAATATTTCTGGGTTAGCGGAGTCTGTAACCTGAAGCGTATGTAACCTGAGGTACCACTGTATTTAGAAAGCCTACAGAATGGAGGGGGCATTTAGACAAGGGCCAGACTTTGAATGGCATAAAAGGCCTTTTTTAAAACAACCGGGCGGAAACCACCTCCACCCCTTTAACCGGCTCAAAAACCTCCTGCACCCCTTTAAAACCATGCAGAATTTGGCTGAGCTGAGATTCTGGGCGGGAAGGCGCCGCCTCCCCCCCTCTTATCTGATTTCCTCGGAACTGTGTCCTGAAAATTTGATCTCTTAGGCGGCATGTCTCTGAAGAATCGGACGTCATGGGACTGGCAGAGGCTTGGGATTTTTGGAATAGCTTCTGTTGTTCAGCAAAGGTTCCTCCGTCGCCACTCCAGGAGAGCCGATCTCCTTACACAAACATACTTTTTTTGGAGGGTGTTTTTTGTGTGTGTGCTACAATTCCCTCCCACCCCGGAAAAAAGATTCTGCGCCATCCGGGGGGGGGGGAGAAACACCCCTGCGATGTTCTCCTCGCTCGCCCTGTGATTTCGCTGTTCTGGATGCCAAGCCGGTGACGTCATGAGGACTAGTCGCTCAAGTCCAAGTGGATCGACAAAGCAGGATGGGGGGGGTCTCCATGGGCAGGGAGGCAGCTGCTCCCCCTAGATCAGGGGTCAGCAAACTTTTTAAGCAGTGGGCCGGTCCACTGTCCCTCAGAGCTTGTGAGGGGGCGGCCTATATTTTGAAAAAATAATGAACGAATTCCTATGCCCCACAAATAACCCAGAGACGCATTTTAAAGAAAAGGGCACATTCTACTCATGTCAAAACACCAGGCAGGCCCCACAAAAACCCAGAGGTGCATTTTAAATAAAAGGACACATTCTACTCATGTAAAAACACGCTGATTCCCGGACCGTCCGCGGACCGGATTGAGAAGGCGATTGGGCCAGATCCGGCCCTGGGCCTTAGTTTGCCTACCCATGCCCTAGATCAATGATGGCAAACCTTTTAGAGACTGAGTGCCCAAACTGGAACTCAAAACCCACTTATCGCAAAGTGCCACGGCAATCTAACCTGTATATCTCATCTTTTTCTGCGTGTTTCATGTTTCTTCTTTAGGACTGCTGTTGTAATAAATAATCCTTCACAAAAGTTATTGCATTACATTCTCCATTCAATTATCTTTCCGTCGATATCTAATTTTATGGTATAACTCAGTGCTTCTTTTCTTAAAAATGTTTAGGGGTACTCTCGTTTTGGTCCAAGTCCATGGGACTCTCAAGTCTCTCCTCCAACACCATAATTCAAAAGCATCAATTCTTTGGCGATCAGCCTTCTTGATGGTCCAGCTCTCACTTCCATACATCACTACTGGGAAAACCAGAGCTTGAACTATATGGACCTTTGTTGGCAAGGTGATGTCTCTGCTTTTTAAGATGCTGTCTAGGTTTGTCATTGCTTTTCTCCCAAGAAGCAGCCGTCTTTTAATGCTGATTATTACCACAGCGGGTGGCGCTGTGGGTAAAACCTCAGCACCTAGGACTTGCCGATCGCATGGTCGGCGGTTCGAATCCCCGCGGCGGGGTGCGCTCCCGCCGTTCGGTCCCAGCGCCTGCCAACCTAGCAGTTCGAAAGCACCCCCGGGTGCAAGTAGATAAATAGGGACCGCTTACCAGCAGGAAGGTAAACGGCGTTTCCATGTGCTGCGCTGGCTCGCCAGAGCAGCTTCGTCATGCTGGCCACGTGACCTGGAAGTGTCTGCGGACAGTGCTGGCTCCCGGCCTTTAGAGTGATATGAGCGTACAACCCTAGAGTCTGTCAAGACTGGCCCGTACGGG